ATATATATAAAACTGTATATATATAAAACTTTACTGCTGTTGGGTCAGTTCTGACTCACAGAGATCCTCTGTTGGGTTTCTGAGGCTCTATGTAAATCAACATAAAGGGGATTATCCATCTTTCTCCCAAGCAGCTGCTGGTCAATTTTAAAGCAAAAGAGATACATAGCCTATTTTTTAAAAATTATTTTATATTGGATTGCATTTAAGATTTGTATACATTGTGTTTATACTATCCTTTATTCGCACTGTGTTTCATACAATCATTCCTATTCGTTGTATTTTATAAAATTAATAACCATTGAACTATGCCTACCAATACCATGTTCTTTCCAGATCCCCATGGGATCTTGACCATTTCCTTTACCCTTTCCCTCAACCCACCAAATTGTGTGACTTTGTGATTTCTTCCCTACCCATCTTTACCCTTCTATTCCCACCCTTTCTTCCTTTGGACCCCATACATCTTTTACTAGTTATCCCTCTATTTTTACTACAGTGGTCTTATGCAGTATTTGTCCTTATAAGACTGAGCTAGTTCACTCAGCTAATTCTCTCCAGTCTCTCCCAGGTTATGTGGTGATGTTTGAAATTGCTTATCCTGAGTGCTGCATAGTATTCCGTTGTAGAGGCACATAGCCTTTGAGTTAGCAATGCAATTCATTACGGATTACTCTACCAGAACACTTTTAAGTATATATACAGATTCATATACATATATGTGGATAGATAGATATAGATCTGTTTATCTCAAAATACTTTTAAATGTACAATTTTGTGACATTAGTGATATTCTTTATATGGGTGTGTACTTTCACAGGGAGTTTGCTGTTAACCCAAAGGTAGCTGTTCCAGTCTGCCAGCAGCTCCACAGAAGAGGAGTATTCTCCTTCCATGCAATTTACAGCCTCTGAAAACCCACTAGGGGATCAGCAATGAGGTAGTTGTGACTTGACAACAATGAGGTTTTCCCCTTCAGTTTGCTGTCATTATCCTTTCCATTTGTTTACATCATCGTTACCAGAAGTTCAGTGTCCCCTATGCAATGAATGTCTCTTTCCCCCTCTCACCATAGTGCTTTTTTATTTTCTTACAATTCACTTTCTACCTCCTGCTAGCGACAACATGAATTAAATGCAGCAATGACAGGGACTATGCGGCAGGTTTTTGTTTCTATAAATATCACAGGACACTGAAGCAAGCAAACTCAATACAAATGTACATTGGCTAGACAAATTGGATTAATCTTTCTAAAAATATTTTCTGGCATTTAAATCACACTTTTCTCATATCGCTGAATAGATAAAATCTTTGACAATTAAAAATGTTTTTAAGAAAAAGAGAGTTCACCATTAGGTATTTTTTTCCCCTAGAGTTATTTGTTAATGTTATTATTTCTTTTCCCCCAGTGTTCTCTATTAGTTTTCATGGTGCACTTACACAGGGTTGTGTAAACAACCTCGCTAAATGTCCTTGCCTCTGACACCAGGAGGTTGGACCCTTTAGGATGATGTAGGAATTCTTAGATTCTGTGTCTCTTATAGTAGTTAGGCAGGTGGCCTTGTCCTCTTGGACACAGGTCTTAGTTGTCCTAATTTTTAGTGAGGACAGTAATATTCTTTGTACCAAATATCGTTGGGGGCAACATTATGGGGCTTGATGGGGTGCTTAGCCCTTTCCATGTGTAGGGTAAACTCATTTAGTTTATCTCCCTACTCCAAGGTAACCTTCAAAGGTCAACTTCTGCTACCTAGCACAGTGCACAGCCACTCCATACATTTCCATTTAAATTACTCTGTTGTCACGTGTTCATCCCATTCTTGCTGGAAGTAAGGAGGTGGTGGCAGTATCTGTGAATGCTATTATTTGTGACCCATGTTAGCCTATCTCTAAGAACACAGTAGCAGGACGTCACTCAACAAGCCATTCCATGGTTGACAGAGACTATTTAGTGAATCAAATGAAATGGGACTAGAAAATGAAATCATTTCCCTGAGGCTTTCAATCATTAAAGATGGACGTTTAAGCTTGACATCATCAGAGTGTCCTTTCAAGGAGCTTAATTTTCGATGACACAGGCTTTCAGTGGTGTGTCGCTGCATGTAATAATTTTTGTTTTCCTTTTCTTTTCAGGGTATATGAGAAATATTTACTTTCACATGGCCTTTGCCAACTGCCCTTGAAAGATGTGGAGGTGATTTTTTCAGAATGTGACTTTGTTCCACCTCACCTTTTTCACCTTGACCTCTGCTGTCAGGGAGGACCGATTTCTCTCTGTCACTACTTGTGCAAGTTTGCAGGAACTGATTATGGAACTCAGACTTAATCTCAAATGCCAGCAAAATGCTACTTTATTTTTCTAATTGGTTTTTACCTCTTTTTGGGATTGCAATTACAACAACGTTAGTGTGATAGAAAGAAGAGAGAATCCTTTAGTATTTCAGTGCCACAGGCCTTGCTTTGCTCAGCAGCTGGTTTGATCTCCTTCTCACATCAGATTTGGAGAAGCTTTGGGGGTCCTTAGAGATTTTAATTCCTGTCTTTAATCCAATGTCCAAACAGAAGCAAGAGTAAATTTTCATGTATATTATTTAACCCAATTTATCAATAAATTTGTGCTATTTCTAAATAAGTGCCTTGTTTTCTTTTAAAATGTATAGCTCTTACATTTTTGAAAACCCATTGCTGTTCATTGGCTCTGATTTGTAATACACCCAAGTGTGTCTGAAAAGAACTGTGCATTACAGGATTTTTCCTACTTATTTTCTGATGTAGATCACCTTTCTTCTGAGGTACTGCTGGGTGGACTCAAACTTCTAACCTTTCAGTTAGCAATAGAGCAAGCAATTGTTTGCATCATCCAGGGACTCTTTTCTCTTGATTGGTCTCTTCCTGTAATAGTTTCTTTTACAGCCCATACTCATTAACTGCAATCTCTATTGAATCTTAATTTGGTCTAGATTTTCTTTCTTATACTGTTTCCTGAGTTTCAGAATTTATTTCCCCAAAAGCTAGTATTTCCATAAAGTTCAGGTTGGCACAGATGCAATCAACATCTTTGGTTCATAAGAGCCTTTGACATTTGCCTTCACTGATGACGCGATGGTTAACATCCTTGGTCGCTAATTGAAAGGTTGGTGGGTTGAACCATCGATGGCTCTGCAAGAGAAAAGGCCTGGAGATCTACATCAGCAAAGATTTCAGCCTGGAAGCCAGATTATACAATTCTACTGTCTCCTGTAGGGTTGATACACGTCTGAATGGACTCAATGACAGGCAACAATAACAAAACACCCTACTTCCTGTTGATGCAGAAGACTCTCCTATTTAACTTTGGTGGCTTCACTCAATTTATACACCAACATTGATGCCAGTAACTTTGCTGGTGTGATGTGGTGACTCTCTGTCAGGTCAAATCCACCAGTGAATCATCAGGAGGAAGACGGACCATCTCCTCCCGTCTGATAGCCAGCCTCTGAAGTCCCACTGGAGGGTCAGTTTTGTGTCTGTTCCAACTCGACAGCAATAAGAGTTGAATCTGAGTTGTGTTTATGCCAGGGCTTTAACTAGCTCATTCATTGCCTTTGCACCACAGATAAGATTTTAATTCAGTGAATCTGGGGTGAAAGAGCATATTCTCAGCAGGGGGTCAAGCCAGAACAAACCAGCTCAAAGCCCTGGTTTATGTACCCTAATCTGCTAGAGCATTGGTTTCCCTTACTAGTACCTTGTACCCCCTCCATATTACAAAGGATAAATACAAACTTCAGTCTTACATAAAGGCTAGAGCAGTGAATCATTTTTGCACCAGACAAGTGATTATAATCTTGCAATATTAAGAAATCTTCTATATTATTCATTGTTCTGTTGAAATGAGCTCTACTAGGAAGATCCTCTGAATGCGGACAGAGTGTGTGGTGGAGCTCCCTTATTGAAACAAGCTTGGAAGGAGGAGTGACATCGACTTCCATAATAGCTTGCCTCCGGAAACCCTATGAACCTAGAGAGAGGATGAAAGGCACCCAAGCACTGAGGACTCTCTTTCATAGGGTCGCTATGAGTTGCCCGCAACTCGACGGCACTTAACAACAACAGGAAAACTCTCTGCCAACACCTTTATCTTACTTGCATCCACAATTACTATACTTGGTACCAGAAAGGATATTGGGAGATGTATGTATTGGGAAAGCCTGTAGTCAGGGACCTCTCCAAATTTTTGAGGACTAACATTGTCAGTTTGAGGACAAAGGTGAGCCAGATTCAGTTTATAGTCTTTTCAATCATTTGCTGTACATCTGAGAGCTGAACAATGATTAAGGATGACAGAAAAATTGATGCCTTTGAACGTTGGTGATGGAGAATAGTACTGAACATCCCATGGATGGCCAAGAGAACAAACAGATATGTCTTGAAGAAGGAGCAGCCATAGGGCTCCTTGGAGGCAAAGATGATGAGGCTTCTTCTCACATACTTTGGGCATGTTGCTAAGAGAGGTTATTCCTTGGTGAGGGACATGATACAGGGAAAGGTGGAGGAACAGCCAAAAAGAGGAAGACCCCTAACCAGGTGGGTTTGCCATGGTGAGTACAACAATGGGCTTGGGTATGTCAGAGACTGTGAGAATGGCATGGGATAGGATAGTGTTCACATTGATTGTTCATGGGATTGCTATGAGTCATACTCAACTTGAGGACACCTAACAACAAGGAAGACGATCATTGAGATGAATGGCCTTAACCACAGCAGACATTGAGAGGCTGGTGCAAGACCAGGCAAGGTACATAGTCATACAACCTGTTGTACAAACTCTGTCTTCAAGAAAACACCAGAAGTTCAGGGTCTTGGGCAAAGGCTCATAATTAGGGGACCCACAGAAACAGGCTGGGGATACTGTGTGTAGAAAAGTCCACTCTGAGAACAGATGGCACTGGAGGCTGTTTCTATCTATGGAGTTAATATGAAGGGACTCTTGGTTCCACTTGCTGCTGCCAGCAAAGCTGTGCTGATGCTACTGACACTAATGTAAAATGCTGGGTCCACTGGAAATCCTTGTCATTGCCTTATATGGGGAAACAAAATCCCTCAGCCTGAGTCAGAAGCATTGCCAAACTGATTGTAAATGTGTTGCCGGCAGGAGGCAGGCCTTTACTGCTGTGGCACTGGGCCATCCCAAGCTGCACTAGCCAGGCTGCTGCCTCACAGCCTTGCGGCCAGCCTTTGTGCCTGGCTTGGGAACCATCACATGCTGTCCTTTGCAAGTCTGTGACCAGGGCTAACATGGGGGTGGAAGGAGTGCCTTCATTTCTTTTGGGGCTTTCAGGAAAAAATTGGTGTCAATTACTGGTCTGCTCTCTGGTGCATCCTATGCTCCCAGGCGAAGATTTTGTTCAGGTGTCTGGCTTCATTGAAACAATCATTGCACAGGTATGGAGAATTGTGGCTTCATGGTTGAAATTTTCCAGACTGTGTCTGCATTTGTAAACATCTCCCCGGAACAATTCCCTACTTAGATGAACTTGGCTATAGTGGCGGTAGAGGAGCTGCCTAAGGGGGCCTGCCATTGTGCCCTTCACATTTAATCAGCCCAGTTGAATTGCTGGGAGTACAATTTGACTTGTGATTGACTCTGGATAGAAAATCCCTGAGTGCAGTTTCCATTTCTATTTCATTAGAAGGCTTCCCTTGGATGTGTTCTTTTTCTAAAAGGCAAATAAAAGCCTAGAGGAAACAAACTGCTATAAAAGAAATAGGTATTTAGCACCGAAAGTTTAAGTAATCCTGGAGGTCCTTGGGTTTGTACTCAGTTTGTACTCAGCTGCAAATTGAAAGATTGGTGGTTTGAACCCACACAGAAGCACTGTAGGAGGCAGGCCTGGTGATCCGCTTTTTGCCACGATCCCCCTAAAGAGCAGTTCTACTCTGAACCCTGCGGCCTTCCATGAATAGAACTTGGTACCAATGGTTTGTGTGTATGTGCGCGTGTGCGTGCGCGCGCACACACACACACACACGCACACACTTTGTATTGTGTTCTAAAAACAATACAGATAGGCAGTTACAAAAGGATACCAGTGATTTTTTTCAGATTTTAGTCACTTACCCATTACCATCAAGTCAAAACAAACTCATAGCTGACCTCCCTGCAGTTCCTGAGGCCGTAAATCAAGATGACCCATCTTTCTCCCATGGAGCAGCCGAAGGATTAGAACTGCATGCTTCCAAGCTGACAGTGCAGCTCCTTACCTGCTAGGCCAGCGGGGCCGTCTTAGTCATAGGTAATGATGTGAATATGTGTGCAACCTTGCAGATAATTTTCTATCTGTGTACATTAACATTGTTGCAGTTTAAACCCTTGTAAGCACATGTCTAATGATGTCTGAGGACTTGCCCTTGGCACTGGCACTGGTGGCTTAAATGAATGCACATTTATAGGAGTTTGAAATATGTAATCAAATTACTTATCCAAGAGGTGCATCATTATCCTTTTATACCACTTACTCTTTTCCTTCTATATTTCTCCCCAGTGCTACTTTGGGGGTAAAAATCTGTGTGAATGTGTTGGATTGGGGGGGGGGGAAGTCATTAAGGAAGTTAAACTTTTTTTAGAAAAATATGTGTAAGTATCATAACTTTTTTTCTTCCTGTCTTTTGCTATATTTTTTTTTTTGAAGGGGAAAGCAGATATGTGTATGTGGTTGATTTGTAAAAGATCTCTCTGTGTTAAGAGTATCACATTACAAAGATTCTTCCAATTAAAACTTCTTTTTTTGTTTTAGTGTTGCTTAAGGTCGATGGTTCAAGCCCAGCAGCTGCTCAGTGGGAGTAAACAGAGTCAGTCAAGATTTGCGGCCTTGGAATCCTAATCAGTCAGTTCTATTCTGTCCTATGGGTCATTCTGGGTCAGAACTGACTGGACAGCAGGGGTCTTGCTGTTGGAATGTAACTGACATTTTACATATCTCTATATCAGAATCTATCAAATTTGTTCTTGTGGTTTCTATTCAGAATTTCTATCTAGGATTGTCAGAGGTGCAAATCCACAACCCTAAAGACTACCAAAATGAAGGATTTGCCCTACTGCCAGGAATAATTCTGGGCAGAATGGACAGACATGCTGCCACATTCTACTCAAAATAGGCCTGGGAGCCCGTGTGTGTTTTGTATGTTTGCACACTGGAGAAATATTTCTGTCAACCTTGAACACTTTCTTTCAGCTTAAAGAAAATTATGGATTCTTTCCCAGTGATTTTGTTTTTGGTGTGTGTGTGTTGTTTTTTTTTAAAAAAAAGCATTATAAAGAGCCCACAGATTATATTTGGAGATTTGATCTCTTTCAGAAAGAAGGATTAAGAAATAAAATTGG